TCTCTCTCTCTGTGTATGTCTCTCATGAATAAATGAATACAATCTTTAAAAAAAAAAAAAGCTATCCACGAGACAAGGAAAGTTAAGGTGACATCATAAGATAAGAATGAGCAAATGTTATGCAAATAACTTGATGAAGAACATCCTAAGAAGGAACAGCCAATGCAAAAACCCAAAGGCAGAAAAACTTAGGCATGATCAAGAAACATAAGAGAGGCTGATGAACCTGCATTGTCTTGAGCTTGAGTGAAGTGGAAATAGATAAGTTTCAAAAGGGAGGAAGAATTGAGAACATATAGATGATAGAGGAAGACTTTGTTAGAAATTAGATTTTAGCTAAGAGCAATGGCCATAGGCGACTGAATGTTTTTTGGCAGGAATACAATATTTTCCCAAATACCAATAATCACGTATCTGTTGTATGAAGAATGAACTGGAGAGATGAAGTTGTTGAGAGAATACACAAGAGGCCACAGCAGAGTTCAGGCAAGAAGTAACAGCATTAGCATGAATGACCATCATGGAGATGGAGAAATAGACAAGGACAATGACATAGTATAGAGAAGGAAAAGACAACGACAGGACAAAAAGATAAGGCTCAGTGTAAGAATGGACCCCAAAGGAAGAAAGAATCATCAAGAATAACTTCTTGATATGTGGCTTACACATCTCTATAGATGCTGGTGCCATTTAATACGACGAGGAAGATTAGGGAGACAGGTTTGGCATTGGTGGGGAATCAAGTGCTTCATTTTGAGGGACACATTAGGTTTTATATAATATATATGTTCAAGAACAAATATGAAGTACCTGGTTAGATCTATGAGTGTGGAGAAAGTTCCAGACTTCAGATAACATTTAAGTGGGGCTCCATGCATGGAGCCCAATGCAAGGCTTGAACTCACAGCCCTGATATCAAGACCTGAGCTGAGGTCAAGTCAGCCACTTAACCAACTGAGCCATCCAGGCACCCTTTCAGATAACAATTTTAAGTCATGAGTATATAAATAGTATTTAAATATCTGGACTACACAGAACCAGATGAGATAATATAGGAAGGATGGACAGAGAAAGAGGAAAGCCCAGGACAAGAATTTCATGGATTCCACGTCTTAAGAGTTTTGGGAGAGGGATATGCAAAGAGAATATGAAAATCCCATCCAGAGACGTCAAAAAAAGTGTGTGTGTTTTTTTTTTTTAAAGATTTTATTTATTTATTCATGAGAAACAGAGAGAGAAAAAGGCAGAGACACAGGCAGAGGGAGAAGTAGGCTCCATGAAGGGAGCCCGATACAGAACTCGATCCTGGGGCTCCAGGATCACGCCATGGGCCAAAGGCAAGTGCCAAACCACTGAGTCACCAAGGGATTCCCCAAAACATCAAAAAAATGTTGATCAAACATATAAACAATGTGGGTTTTCATAACAAAGGGCTAGAACTGGAAAATCAGAATGTAGGACCTACAGAATTTCATCCCAAGATCATTGAGGTAAAATATTCAACAATCATCTTGTTACTTAGTCTTTCCCTCACATTCCACCTGCACACCAAAACTAAATTTATATAAAACACCAATCACCTATTTAGAGTAATACTGTAGTCAATACTTGAATTTTCTTTGTAGAAATGATGTAACCTCATCCAGTCCAATATATCCAGATACATATATGTCCATCTAGAATTTAAAAATAGGTCTTTAGGGGCACCTGCGTAGCTCAGTCAGTTAAGCATCCAACTCTTGATTTCGCTCAGGTCATGATCTCAGGGTCATGAGCTCGAGCCCCATGTCTAGCTCCATGCTGAGTGTGGATCCTGCTTAAGATTCTCTTTCTCTCTCCCTCTCCCTCTTGCCCCAACCCTACCACCTGCATGTGTGCACATTTTCTCTATTAAAAAAAAAAAAAGTCCTTAAGCCATTTGCCCTTGTCCTAGAGAAGAGTACAGTTTATTGACTGATGGAAACATCACCTTCTCCAATCAGCTTAATCACACTATAACTGTGTACTGTGCCGTTCAATAAAATTTTCTGCAATAATGGGAATGTTCTATATCTATGTTTTCTAATATGGTACCCACTAGCCACACTGACTATTGAGTACCTGAATGTGAGTGACTAGAGTAATGGCAGAACTGAATTTGTAATTTTACTTAATGTTAATTAAATTTATGTAGCCACATGGGGCCAATGGCCAACACACTGGATAGCACAGGTATAGGCCATCTATATTCATATAAACCATATTCATTATTTGCCATTATAACCTATTTGATATACTCATTCCCAAAATTTCTTCTTTCAACTGATGCCACATTCTTCCTTAATCTCTCTGTTCCTACATCATCTCTGACACCAACCAATTAAGAGAATCCCCAATCAAGAACAAAACATTGACCTGCCTTATCTTCCATTTATCCTAGAACTCCAAGCTCAAACTTGCCATGTTTCGATGCTACTATCCAGCTATCAAGACTCAAGCAAGCTATCAAGCAAGGCTGTCTAAAAATAGCACAAAAGATAAAATAGAACTAAACTCACCCTCTACGCCAATTATTAACATAAAATCCACAGTAATCAGCCATTTCCTTTCACATAGTCTCCTAGAGGCCAATCTGTTAAGAATCTCCTACATTACCTTCCTCATTTCCATCTCCAAAAACTTTTTACTGACTCATATCATTTTTATTTGAAACTCAGCTATCTTTCTTGAAGAAATTATTTTATCAATCTTCTAAAAAGTATTTTATTCTTTCTGTAACACTTTACCAAAGTGTTTACCAAATCAATTTCTCTAATTTTGCAAAAACAGTCCCTGTCTATGCCTCATAATCAAATGCTAAAAATTTTAGGATTTTAGGCACATACATCAACCTAAGACTTTGACATTTGGAAGGGACTTCCATCCTTCATTAGACTCAAATCTTTCAGGGTGTATTAGAGTGGTCGTTCTTCAACTACAGGGATCAAAGTACAGTCTTTCCAATCTCATATGCTCAGGGCACTCTCCATATTAAGTAGAGTAGAAGCCAAATCTCAAGATGAAGCCTGTGGTCTGAAAAAGTTCCCACATAGTTTATACACACATCTCTGATTTAAACACACAGACACACACACACAAAAAAAAAAAAAAAAAAAGAAGAAGAAAGAAAGAAAGAAAGAGAGAGAAAGAAGAAAGAAAGAAAAAGAAAATAAGACCTACTTTCAAGATGTAATGAACAGATGCAAGTGATGCTGTCAGTGAGTGATTATGTAGTTTATACACAGCAAGGAAGAGTAAGATAGAGACCTTTTCTCTATATGGAAAAAAGAAGCCTCATACCAACCAGTAAAACAATAAAATAACATGTGATCATTACTGAGTCAATGCAGTATAGACACAAAGTACAGAGAAATCAGAAAAGAGGGAGTTCCAAGTGTGCACTGGACTTTGTGGAGATAAAAAGAGCTCAAGGTGAAAGAAGCCAGTATCTGGCCAGAAAAATCCAACACAATCAAATGCACAGGTGCCAGTCCTCCAGCTTATTGGACATTATATTACCCACTTCCTCCTCTTTGGAATGAGTTTGTCACTTGTTTTCAGGACATTTTCTGACCCTCCTCCTACCATAGCCCAATACTTCTCACTCTACCCAGCTGGGTTCTTATCTTCTCAACCTCTAAATAATGTGGACCTCTTGTTTTTTTAACCAGTTCTTGTTCCTCCTGTTTTCTCATCAAGTTCCAGTTCCCCTTCTTTAATGCCCCATGCCCACAGAGGAATACAGCCATACAGCATTAAAAGGGTCTAAATGAACACAGTCAATGTGTGTAGCAACCGCTGCAACGCAAGACCAAATGATCACAGCCTACTCAGGGGTGGGAATTGAGAGTGTACAATTTCCAAGGGCCTTTCCAAAACAACAAAATTTAACAGAAATAGCAGAGGCCATCAGAAATAGTACAGAAAATTCAAGGGAAGTCACAGGTGACCAAGCACCAACAATGTACTGCAGCACAGCAGAACCTAAGTAAAATGCACTTGGAGTAAAAGGATTCACTAAGAGGAAAAATGATCTCAGGTTACAACACTAAAGCTGAGGGGAAAAGGACTTCTCGGGAAAATTATTCTCGGTGCAGACAAAATATAGAATTAGAGATCAGACTACAGAAGGGGAGGTGTCAATTTGGAAATAACTGTCAGACTACAGACAGCTTAACTCTTCAAATATATATGAGTACACTCTATTATGGTGAAATCATTATGCGAGAGGAAGGAGGACTCTGCTTTTGCATACAGGAAGACATCAAAGGGCGGCTGCCCTGGGGGCTGGCAACATACTGGGGATTACATGCAGATTAGACTTCAGCAGAAGAGGTCACTTTGGTACTCTCCAGCAGAGAAAGAAGAGTTTAGGCCTAGAGAATGAATGAAACTCTTAATATGAGAATCAAGCAGATTAAAACAAAAACAAAAAACAAACCCAGGACCAGGAAGTTGGGGAAGCAGAGACTGAATAAGTAGACAGAGGTGCCCTAAGAGTAAAGGTATGTGTAATTTTCAAATGCCTTCAGGTGAGGTGGGGTGTCATGGAGGGATTTCAGCCCTTTTGAAAGGGGCAGGGATGCGCAGAAGATGAGAACTGTGCCAAGTGCAAAGCCGTCTGTACAGAAGCAAATCGTCAAAGAACAGGTGGTGGGAACTCTGCAGAAAAAGAAGGGGAGAAGACACACACAAGCTGGGCAGGAGGGAACCAGGTAAGAAATCTGGATCCTAGATGAAAAGCTGTAATCAGATCTAGAAATGAGAAAAAAAGAAAGACCTCATCCTTTCACAGCAGGCAAAGAACAGCCCTACTGAAGAAGAGAGATACAGAAAGGAGTTGATCAGATATCTGTGTCACCAACTGGTATAAAAAAAAAAAAAAAAGGTTCCCCACACTACTTCCAGAGTGTTAACCTTTCACTGATCAACCGGAATTTTAGTGTCCTTTCTCCCCATTTTCCTGATTTTCACTCACTCACCTGAACAGGTTTGACTATGAGCTACTCCCTCTACTGTCCATGGCAGTCCTCCTTGTTCCAACTGAAAGAGTGAATCTTGTTTGCTGGCTTGATAACCTGTAAAATGGGAAATCATGGACAACTTGGCACCAAGTACTTAAGCCTGAGGAATCTATGAAAACTGGAGAGAGGTTGTACATCAGTTTTACTTCAGTAAAGTAAAATCCTTTTCCCAGGGAAGGGAGAACATCTACACTCTAGGGCCAAAGAGGAGAGTAAGAGTCTATACCCTACAATGTTTAGTCCAAACCAGGAGATATTTCAGGAATACTACAGATTTTATTGAATGAGAAAGAAAAGGCAACTGATTGTGATGCTGTCCTCACCCAGGGACACCAGGTTATTGTAGTTCTCCAACATCACGTCCCAGTACAGGTCCTTCTGAGACAGAGTCAGTAACTGCCACTCCTCCCAGGAGAAGCTCACAGCCACATCCTCAAATAATAATGATGCCTGTAACAACAAATGTCAATGCAAGCTAAGGTAGAACAGATGATGTGGAAGAGAGGAACAGGAACACATTCTGGTCATTTTCCCATGATACATTATGCACACTGTGGGTATTTCACATACCACATACCCCATGTATCTTAGTCCACTCAGATTGCTATAACAAAATACCGCACACTGGGTAGCTTACAAAAAACAGAAATTTAACCTGTGATTAAGAAGGTATAAAGGGAGCATGGCTACTATCTGTACTCCAAGCTGTTATTAAAGAATGGAATTTTCAGCTGTCTTCTGCCAAATGGCAAAATTCTCCTTCATGGAGGACCACTCACAGATCAAGCACCCATTCATTCTATTAAATAATTCAGGCTTTATTCCTGGGTAAAGTGTGGACTGCTAGAAGGTTGTATCATCCAGGTGCATAGCTTTTGAAGAATTTATCCAATAGTTCTGCTTTGGCATTTACCCCCTTAGCTTACTCTGAGGAACACAATGAGAAAAAGCCAAAGGAAACATCCTGTGTCTTTATTACATGACTGATACTGAGGACACTGTCTACCACAAAATTTCGGTGAAGAGCAAGGAAAAGAAATTTCTTAAGTACTAAGAGCAACAAAATTACTTTCCCTGAAGAACTGGTTTGCTTTCTCCTCATAGATACTACACACCATGTAGCTTTTCATGTTTTTCTTGTTATTACAGGTGCCAAGAAATGAGACATAAATTCAAAGCTAAGGTAGCCCACAAAGTCTTACAGTCATTTACCTTGGTTCCATCCTTAAGAGCTTTGTATGAACCCTATGACCTATATATTTTCCTTCCTAACCTACCCAGATTTTAAGATTATCACCTAAACTTATTTTCCAACAGATGCTGATTTTTATCAACTATGGTGTCTCATTTTATCAGACCCTGTTTTAGAAGCTTCCACAAATCCACTGGGAAACAAAGGACAAAATAGGTAAAATAAACCTTACCTGCACATTGGTCATTTTCCTGTTCTAAAGAAAGGGCTAGCAATCCAGGATATGCTCTGTCTTCTGTCTGCTCTGGGCCTGCCTGGAGGTTATGGTCAGATATCTCAGGTCAGGCTGCTGCCAGAAATGATGATCTCCTAAACCTGGGACCTTCTCCTTCTTCCAGTACTGAAAACGTCTTGTTCCCGTATCCTAGAACCTATAGATTCAAGAGCAAATTCAACTGTAAGACTACATGCACCCAAGACTCACAGCTTTCCCTTGCCATGCTGACTCACTCTAACAAAAGGCCCTAACATTTCCTCTGCATCTTTAACACCAGGGAAGCTTTTATATCATGGTGCTGTGCTCCATAGGTAGATATGGAATAGGCAAGAGGAATCCCTTTTTTGGGGGTGGGAAACTAGAAAAAAAGTTGGACTAGAATGGATATGAAAGAGATGGGGGGGGGAACCCACCTCACGATCTTGTCCATTGCCAAGTTCTCACACACATCAATTTTAGAAAAGATAATATATACAAGTGGTGGTCCTGGAAACTGCCTTAAAACCACCTGTGTCCATACATTCCTAAAATTTTTGTTAATTGCACTGGAGCAATTATCCCATGTGAAAACCAAGATCTATACAAATCCTCAATACTACTCTATAAGGTACGCATTATCTCCATTTTATACACAAGTAAGCTGAGGCTTAATCAAGTGAAGTGTGTTGTCCACATAACTTCTTCCCTAAGGGGATGTTAGGTGGTGGTTCAGCGGTTTAGTGCCTGCCTTTGGCCCAGGGTGTGATCCTGGAGTCCCACAACAGGCTCCCCACAGGGAGCCTGCTTCTCCCTCTGCCTAAGTCTCTGCCTCTCTCTCTCTCTGTGTCTCTCATGAATAAATAAATAAAATCTTAAAAAAAAAATCCCCAAGTAGCAACTGAGAATCTGAATCCACATCTGCCCGTCTTCATGATGACACATCCCTTTTCCAACAGTCTCAAAATACAATTTTCTTTTCTTCTGCATTTTAAGAACTTCATTCTGTAGCACATTATACAGTGGAGTGGCCATATGGCCAAAGTTGCAAGAATAGAACCTCTGGAACCAGTTCTTGTAATATTTGCTATGCACATCCAGCCAGCTCCTTCCACACAAGCCAGAATGCAAAGGCAGACCCATCCTTGCCTCAGCAGCAGCAGATCAGAAATCAGTATCCCCAATGGCCAAGCCCTGGACCCATGCTAGAAACTCACACTCTGAGGACACAAACACCATGAAGTCAATTTGAATTTTGTTTCACCCTGCAAGGCAGCAAATTATTCTCAAAGACTCTCTAGCTCTCCTGAATCCTCCACACCTAGACAGCTGATCTCTGACCCATTCTCTGGTGGACTGGTAAACATGGTGAACAAGGATAACTACCCACTTCCATGTCTAATCCTGACAATGCTTTATCCCAGTCTTGGCCTTTCATCCAGTCTGAGTGCTGGCCTACAAAGGATGGTATACAGCTCAAGTGCAGAACTCCATACAGGCAGGAGAGAGGTAGGAAGAGGGGGTTAGACATGAATGAATTTACAACTGAGATCTCTAGGACTGGAGATCAAGGACTCAACCATTTCTCAGAAGCCCTTGACAGACTTTCCTTCACACTTAACAGATTAGAATTACACCAAATGTTCATGCCTAGAACACTGCAATGAAACTGAAAATGGCAATGGAACTACCCTGATTGGTAGGACTACTCTATATTTCCTACAGAACTGTGGTTAAGGTCAAGTTCCCAAATGGATGGCTGCCTATATAAGAGATTTTCTTAACCAAAGGGGCATGGATGTCAGGTTGGCTGCTAAAAGTAGCTAATAAAATAAATTAATAGGTTAGAGGAGGAAAGCCGAAATTGATATTGAAAAAACAGCTCATAAAATTCAATATTCCTTTTGTTACAAACCTATAATAACCTAGGAATGGAGTGGCTACTTCCTTAGGCTTATTATGGTACAATGGGAAATAGATATTTGGTTTATGTCCCAGGTTTCTGGCACACAGCTCCTAAAATCCTTGGAATCTGTGGAGTGACAAGAGTAGCTTTTATATGCCAATGAGATTATCAGTGACTTGGGATCCCCAGATAGCTTCAGGATAGGAGGAAATCCCCAGAAAGACCAAGGCATAATTAGTGGGTTAGAACTTTCAGCCTCACCCCTGAACCTCTGGGAAGTGGAGGGAGCTGGAGATTGAGTTTAATCACTAGTGGCCTACATAATTCACAAAATCTCCTAAAGTACACAGTTTGGAGAGCTTCTGAGTTGGTAAACACTTTGAGGTGCCAGGGGTGTGTGTACCCCTACCCCTACTCCACAGGGACAGAAGCTCCTGTACTCAGGATCCTTCTGGATCTCACCCTCTTCAATTGGCTATTCATTTTTATCTCTTATAATAATTTGGTGATAGAAAATAAAGTATCTTCCTGAGTTCTGTGCACTCTTCTAGTAAATTATTAAACTTGGGGGGGTGTAGAAATCCCTGATTTATTTATTTTAAAGATTTGTTTATTTATTTGAGACAGATAGAGTCTGCACATGTGTGAGTAGGGAGAAGGGCAAAGGAAGAGGGAGAGAGAGAGACAATCTCAAGCAGACTTCCAGCTGAAGGCAGAGCCCAACCCCAGGCTCTGTCTCACAACCCTGAGATCATGACCTGAACCAAAAGCAAGAGTCAGATGCCCAATTGACTGAGACACTGAGGTGCCCCTGAAACCCGATTTATAGCCATCTGGTCAGAAGTACAAATGGCAACCTGAGAATTGTGACTGGCATCTGAAGCGTGGTCAGTCTTGTGAAATGAAGTCCTTAACCTGTGGGATCTGCATTAACTGCTGGTAGTTAGCATCAAAACCGAGTTGAATTTTAGAAATCCCAGGGATGCCTGGGTGTCTCAGCAGTTGAGGATCCGGCTTCGATTTAGGGCATGATCCTGGGGTCCAGGATCAAGTCCCACATTGGGCTCCTTGTGGGGAGACTGCTTCTTCCTCTATGTTTCAGCCTCTCTCTTGGTGTCTCTCATGAATAAATAAATAAAATCTATATATAAAAAAAGAATTTTAGGGGGATCCCTGGGTGGCTCAGCGGTTTGGCACCTGCCTTTGGCCCAGGGCGTGGTCCTAGAGTCCCAGGATCGAGTCCCGCGTCAGGCTCCTGGCATGGAGCCTGCTTCTCCCTCTGCCTGTGTCTCTGCCTCTCTCTCTCTAAGTCTATCATGAATGAATAAATAAAATCTTAAAAAAAAAAAAGAATTTTAGGATACCTAGTTGGTGTCCAGGGAGTTGGGAGAATTGGCTGGTGTGGGGAGGACCCCCATACATGTGATGTCAATAATGTTGGGGGCAGGGAGGAACAGCCTGCTGATAAAACAAGAATAAAATCCTATGAAGTTCTTGTAAAAGGATACCTCAAGTATAACACCATTTGCATAAATTTCTTAAATGCACACAGAATAGATATTGTTTGAAGATAGATACTTAAAGTCCAAAAATCATTATAATGTAAAATTTCAAGTTAGAGTTTACTTCTAGGGATGAAGAGGAACAAATGGAGTTGGGACTTGTAGTTGACACATTAGTTGGATGTCACACTTTCTTTCCAAAAGATAAGAGGACAAGAGGAAAAACATCTGAAGCAAAACAAAACCAAAGCAAAAATGTAACACTTTACATGCTCAATTGAGAGCCAGTGAGATGCTGGAAGCATTTCTATGAAGCATGGAAAGGATTAATTACTACCATTCTCATTCATCACTGATCTTACCATGTCATTAGAGAAAAGAATCAAATAGCAATCATCAATATGAAAGAAAAGGCAATAAATTATCAACATTTGCACAGTATTACTGTAGACCCAGCAAACTCAAGTAATTGAAATGGACAATAGTAAAAAATAAGAGTTAGTCATGATGAACACAGTAATGTATAAACTCCTCAAATCACTAATATAACATTGTGTGTTGATGTACTAAAATAAAAAAAGTTTAGTCAGTGGTTGAAAAATTATAACATTCCTTTACATATATTAAATACCATCAGCATTATTATTTTTGGTGTAATTGACATATATCAGTTTCAGGTGTACAACATAACAATTCAATATCTGTATATATTATGAAATAATCACCATAATAAATATGGTTAATAACTATCACCATACGGTTATAAAAACTTTTATCTGGTGATGAAGAGTTTTAAGATCTATTCTCCCAGCAACTTTCAAATATGCAGTACAGGGACACTTGGTGGCTCAGCAGTTGAGTGTCTGCCTCTGGCTTGGGATGGGCATGATCCCAGCACCCTGGGGAGGCCGCTTCTACCTCTGCCTATGTCTCTGCCTCTCTCTCTCTGTCTTTCATGAATAAATAAAATATTTAAAAAAAACAAAAAAATATGCAATATAGTATTATTAACTATAGCCACCATTCTGTACATTACATCCCTATGACGTATTTATTCTATAAATGGAAATTTAGGTCTTTTGATTCCCTTGACTCATTTCACCTACCCCCATGCCTCAACCTCTAGCACCCACCAATCTGTTCACTGTATCTATAAACTTGGTCTTTTGGTTTTGTTTCATTTTTTTTAAGATTCCCTAGATATAAATGAGATAATACAATATTTGTCTTCCTCTGATTTATTTCAATTAGCATAATGCCCTCAAGGTCCAACCATACTGTTACAATTGGAAAGGTTTCCTTCTTTCTTATGGCTGAATAATATTCGTGTGTGTGTGTGTGTGTGTGTGTGTGTGTGTATACTGACTGAGCCACCTATCAGGCGCCCTTCTGATATATGCACTTCTAATACATGTCTAAATTCCCTCCCTTGAATGCTTTAGTTGCATTCATCAGAAGTTGACATGTAGGATTATTAAAATGCAATTCAAAACATTTCTACTGTAATATTTTTTGAATATGGATTATTTAGACTTGTATGGTATGCTTACCAAAATATGGATATTTTCTACTTTTCAGTTTGATATTGCTTTATGAGCTTAATTCCACTGTAGTCAGAGAAAATATTCTGTGTGATTTCAATACTTTGAAATTTGTTTAGACTGGATTCATGACCCATCATATACTAAGTTTTTATGGTTGTTCTATGTGCATTTGAGAAAAATTGTTGAGTGGAGTGTTTTACACTGGTCAAGTTTGTTAATCATGTTCTTCTAATTGCTCAGGAGTTGGTGGTATAGTGGGCTGGTGACATGTTTTTGTAAATAATGTTTTCCTGGAACACAACCATACCCATTTGTATGCAGTCTCTAGGCTACTTTCATTTTATAATGGCAGAGTTCAGCAGGTGCAGGACTATCTGGCCTGCAAAGCCTAAAGTATTTACTTTCTCACTGCTCTTTACAGAAACCTTGCTGACCACTATTAAACTATAGCCTTCTAGCTTCTGTCTCCTTGTTCTTTGTTACTGAGTGAAGTGTGCTAAGAACCTCCTGTTGTGACTGGCCATTTGTCATTTCTCCTTGTATCTATCATACCCTACACTTCAGAAATTCTACTAAGTAGGGGAGCCCGGGTGGCCCAGCAGTTTAGCACCGCCTTCAGCCCAGGGAGACCCAGGATCGAGTGCTGCATCGGGCTCCGAGTGGAGCCTGCTTCTCCCTTTGCCTATGTCTCTGCCTCTCTCTTGTTCTGTGTCTCTCATGAATAAATAAATAAAATCCTAAAAAAAAAAAAGGAATTCTACTAAATATATACCCAACAGAAATTTCATCCATCAAAATGCATGTAGAAAAATATTTGTGTCAGCATTATTTATAATAGACATAAGCCAGTAACAACCAAAATGTCTATTAATAGCAGATGCATAAATAAATTAGGGTAGGGCAGCCCGGGTGGCTCAGCGGTTCAGTGCCGCCTTCAGCCAGAGGCCTGATCCTGGAGACCCTGGATTGAGTCCCACGTCAGGCTCCCTGCATGGAGCTTGCTTCTCCCTCTGCCTGTGTCTCTGCCCACCCCCCCCCCCCGTGTGTCTCTCATGAATAAATATATAAAAATCTTAAAAATAATAAATAAATAAATAATTGGGGTATAATCACACCAAAGAATACCATACAGCAATGAAAAGAAAATGAACTACTGCTATATGGAAAACTTAGATGAATTTCACAACAAAATACTAAACAAAAGAAGCCAGATACAAAAGGACATATACCCTATGATTCTATTTGCATAAAATTCTTTTAAAGATTTTATTTATTTACTTGAGAGACAAAGAGAGAGCCAAGGGAGCAGCAGAGGGATAGAGAGAAGCAGGCTCAGCTGAGCAGGGAGCCGGAAGCAGGGTTGGATTCCAGGACCGTGGGATCATGACTTGAGCCGAAGTCAGATGCCCAACTGACTGAGCCATCTAGGCACCCCTCCATTTGTATAAAGTTGACAGCCAGGAAAATTTAATATGATGTCTTCAGATAATAATTACCTCTGGGGAGAAGGAAGGAGATTAGAATAAGGTGAAGCTCCTAGGGTACAACAGTCCATTTTTTCATTTTTTTAGGTTATACTTGAAAAATACTCTTAAAGACAAGTAAGGATGGGAATGCCTAGGTGGCTCAGTGGTTGAGCATCTGTCTTTGGCTCAGGGTGTGATCCCGGGATCTGGGTGTCGAGTCCCACATTGGGCTCCCTGTGGGGACCTTGCTTCTTCCTCTGCCTGTGTCTCTGCTTCCTCTTTCATGAATAAATAAAATCTTTAAAAAAATAAAAAGTAAGGATCAGTTTTACTTATAAATATAGAAGCAAATTTTTTTAAATTTTATTATGAAAAAAGTTCAAGCCTAAGAAGAAGAAGAAACAGTATAATTAAACCCCATGTACAAAGCGGAGGGGTACAGGGACGGCTCAGTGGGTTAAGATGAGACTCTTGATTTCAGCTCAGGTCATGATCCTAGAGTCATGGGATTGAGCCCCATATCAGACTCCTTGCTGAGTGGGGCCTGCTTGAGATTCTCTTTCCTTCTTCTGCCTCTGCCCCGGAGTGGAGTGGAGTGGAGTGGAAAGGAAAGGAAGAAGGAAAGAAAAGAAAGAAATCAAAGTATAATCAAACTCCTCATATGTATTATATACCTTCAATAATTATCAACTCAAACCTAATTTTTATCATCTATACCACCACTCATCTCCCTTCACCAATGGATTATTTTGAAGCAAATCTAAGACATCTTTTTATTTCTAGATGCAAAAATATTAAATAAAATATTAGCAAATAGAACCCAGCCACATATTAAAAGAACAAAACATTATGGATAAATATGGTTTTCTTCAAGGAATATAAGACAGTGGGAAATCTAGCAATCTATAAATCAAATATTAAAGACAGAGAAGAAAAATATAAATGATGGGCTTTAATGTACAGCATGGTGATTACAGTTAAGACTGTATTATATAACCGAAAGCTGCCAAGAGAGTAGACCTTAAATGTTTTCACCACATAAAAAAATGATAATTGGGGAGGTGGGTGGGGAGATGGGGTAATTGGGTAATGGGCCTCCTCATTAAGGAGGAGGGCAGGTGATGTGATGAGCACTGGGTGTTATATGCAACTGATAAATTACTGAACACTACATCTAAAACTAATAATGTGCTGTAAGTTGGCTAATTGGATTTAAATTTAAAAAAGAAGTAGTAATTAGGTGTGACATGATGCAAACGTTAGCTAACGTATGGTGGTAATTATTTTGCAATAAATGAGTGTATTAAATCAACATATTGTATACCTTAAACTTACAAAACCATTATATGTCAATTATATCTCAATAAAGCCAGGGGGGAAAAATCCTTGAGAAAGAGGAACAAAACCCTGATAAATCAGTTACCAGGGCACCTGGGTAGCTCAGTGGTTGAGCGTCTGTCTGCCTTTGGCTCAGGTCGTAATCCTGGAGTCCTCGGATCAAGTCCCGCATCATGTCCCTCACAGGAAGCCTGCTTCTCCCTCTGCCTATCTATTTCTCTCTCTCATGAATAAATAAAATATTCCTTAAAAATCATAGTTACCAATTATTCAGACTATACTAGGTACCAGGGACTACACTTTGTACTTAAAGAACATTTGCTAATTTAATCTTTATAACAACTCTATGACAGTTTTGTTTTGTTTTCACAAAGAAACTGACTCAGACATTAACCTACCCAAGTCAGAAGCAGAAGCAGATTCTTCTTACTCCACAGTTCATACACTTGCCACCTGGCCATAATTATTTGCAGATAACAAAAATAATCAACTAGAAAATATAAAGGAATCAAGGTATAAGCTAGTAGCAGTAACATTAGTAGACTGAGGTGACAAAAATAGTGTATTTTTAAAATATTTGCTTTTGTATGAATAAAATTTTTGCATTATATGAGAAGAAACAAAAAGAGGGAGTGGCATCATAAATGAAAAACTCACACCATTTACGATTAAAACAATATAGACCATTTAGGAATAAACATAAACAGGTATGTCTAAAACAGTGGAAAATCACCACCACCGCTGGCCAAGGAAACAAAAACGCTTGGGTTAAAGGAAATCCATCACATATTCCTGAAAGTATTGGACCTAGACCTACATCAGTTTTACCCAAATTATCATCATTAAAGATTTTATTTATTTATTCATGAGAGACACAGAGAGAGAGGCAGAGACATAGGCAGAGGGAGAAGCAGGCTTCCTCCAGGGAGGCCCATGTGGGACTCATCCCAGGACCCAGGGATCACGCCCTGAGCCGAAGGCAGACACTGAGCTACCCAGGCTTCCCCAGTTTTACCCAAATTAAGTCACCCACGCGATGGTACATAACTTCAATAGTTAAAAAAAGAAAAGAGGGCAGCCCGGGTGGCTCAGAGGTTTGGCGCCGCCTTCAGCCCAGGACGAGATCCTGGAGTCCCAGGATTGAGTCCCACATCGGGCTCCCTGCATGGAGCCTGCTTCTCCCTCTGCCTGTGTCTCTGCCTGCCCCTCTCTCTCTTTCATGAATGAATAAATAAAATCTTAAAAAAAAGGGAAGAAAGACAAAAAGTTCCAAATAGTAATATAGAAACAGCTGATAGGATATTAGATTCACAATGTATAAAATTATATCAGTACCTACACAAATCATCCCAACACTAAAATTGAAATACTCTAAAATCTAACCAGAGTTATTTTCTGGACTTAGGAGTTTGACCATGTCATTACATGGGTCGGAAATAAAACTGAAAACACCTTTTCAGTAAGAATATAGAGTAAACGTGGGCGCAATAGGCCCAAAACTCCATGTTTAAAAGTCAGGATGTGACAGCATCAACAACCGAGCTCCCCAACACCGACACGACTCCCGCTTCCCTCAACCAGACACCCCAAAACGCTACTCTCCCCACGTTCTCGTCCCAAAACGGAGTCTCACACGCTCCCCCTGCACAGGGAACCCCCAAATGATCCTCCCACACAGCAACCCCCAGGGAGAATTCCCACTCGCTTCCCCAACACCGACGCCTCACGCGCTCCGGACAAAAAACAAACAAAACCCAACGCGCTCTCCGTGGCCTCGAAACACTCCCAGAACCGACACCGACCTAGTGATAACCCCGATCTTCATCGCTGGAGACCAATCACCGTGCCACTTCCTCAAACACTTTGCTCAGCGTCTACCGCCCCCGAGTCTCACCTCAGCGGCTGACAGACCCTCAGAAGCGCAGAGGAGGATGGCGGCCGACGAGGGCCAGCCCGCTTGTTCCAGAGATCCGGAATCTGGCACGGGGCTCGGCCTCTGTGACGCCATAATGCAGCGCGCGCAGCAGACTGTTAGACGGGAGCTACCGTTTCTTCGCTTACTACCTCGTGGCGGGTACCTCTCTTTTTGCACCTTTTCTGGGAAGGCACTAGACGGTGAGAAGCTATTGAAAACGCTTTGGTTCACTTCATTTCTACGCCACTTTACCCATTTGGCCCTGAATCTGTAACATTCACGACGGGCGGTGCGTATACCGCTTAGCCCCTCAGACACTCAGGCCTGCCCAGATCTCTCCCCAGGACCCTCCGAGATGGTCGCGGACTTGAAGGCCCTTTGATTTAAAGGAAAGGGCCCACGTAGGAGTTTGCGGAGAGGGTCCCAGCCAATCCTGAGTAACAGTTGGGAGGGGAGCAGGCTGGTATCCTGGGAATGCTGGCTGCAGGGGGCCTTATGGAGAAAGCGGCGTGTGAGGCCAGGCGAGAGTTTAGAGAACTCGGAAAAAGGCATTAAAGGCATTAGCCAGAGTGGACAAATAGAATTATAAAGCTCGGGATCCCTGGGTGGCGCAGCGGTTTGGCGCTTGCCTTTGGCCCAGGGCGCGATCCTGGAGACCCGGGATCGAATCCCACATCGGGCTCCCGGTGCATGGAGCCTGCTTCTCCCTCTGCCTATGTCTCTGCCTCTCTCTCTCTCTCTCTCTGTGTGTGTGACTATCATAAGTAAATTTAAAAAAATTAAAAAAAAAGAATTATAAAGCTCTTGGTATTGATTAGGTTCTTGTCTCAGAGTCGAAGAATGAGTCTCCCAGACAAAGGAGAGTGAGTAAAGCGATAGAAGTTTTAAGTAAAGATAACAGAGAAAGCTCTCAGAAGTGACAGCAGTCCCCACAGGGTTGCCACTGAGGGCTGGTAGGGTTGGTCTTTTATTGAAAGCCAATCTGGGAACGTAAATATTTTTTTAAGATTTTATTTTATTATTGTTTTAAATTATTTATTTATTCATGAGAGACACAGAGAGGCAGAGACATAGGCAGAGGGAGAAGCAGGCTCCATGCAGGGAGCCCGATGTGGGACTCGATCCTGGACTCCAGGATCATGCCCTGGGCTGAAGGCAGGCGTTAAACGCTGAGCCACCCAGGCGTCCCTAAATAAATAAAATCTAAAATAAAGTTAAATTGAAAAACAACCTCTCCCCTCTCTTCCCCTCTGCTTGTGTTCTCTCATAAATAAATCAAATAAACAAATACTCTTAAAAAAAAAAAAGCTTGGAACTTTCAGACCTGCCCATTCTCTTGAGAAGGGAGAGGGGTTTGGAAATAGAATTAATGATCAGTCATGCCTATGTGAGGAAGCCTCCATAAAATAGCAAAAGTATAGAGTTCGGAGAGCTTCTGGGTTGCTGAACTTGTAGAGGTGCTGGGAGTAGTGCCTGGAGAAGGAATGGAAACTTTGTGCGCCTTGCCACATACTTCACCCTTCACATCTCTTCCACCAGACTGTTCATCTCTATTCTTTATCATATCCTTTTATGATAAACTGGTAATTGTGTTTCCAAATTCTGTGATCCACTCTAGCAAAATAATTGAAACTGAATTTGAACCCAAGGAAGGGTTGTAGAAAACTTCCAACTTGTAGCCAAGACAGACAAGTTGTAAGGTGGGGACCTAATTTTCAGTTAACATCTGAATGGGGGAGTTTTGTGGGAGTAAACCCTTAACCTGGGATCTGACACTAACTCCAGATAGGTAGTGTCAGAATTGATTTGAATTGTAGGCCACCCAGCTGGTTAGAGAATTGCTTGGGAGGATGGAACTCTCCACACATCTGGCATCAGATGTGATGTAAGTATGGTAGTGATGTGAGAATAACGGAAACACAAAGGAGGGAGGGCAAGGCTCTCCCTATTCAAGAGCAACATGAAGGAAGCTACTCTCATTTTCACCTTGTGGGCTCCAACTATATTCTTACTTTATTTCAATTATTTGCAAAAGAAGGGAAGTCATTAAAATGTTCAGTCATCCTTTCATTCAACAAATCACAGATTTCTGTAATATGCAGCCATCAAATCCTCTTGCTGACCTGAGTCATTTGCAATTTGTGTTTCAGCACTTTTTGATCAATCACTATACTAAATGCTAGTGACATCAGAATGATGTAGTACAATTCCACTCACATAAAAATGTGTTAATAGGTGTACTTACCTACATAAATTCATGTATATGTATGCATATACATGCATGCACACATAAACCTACACATAGATATAGATGTTCACATAGGTAAAAACACACTACCACACATTTGTTAATGATGTGTCAGAGAATTAAGGGGAACAATGTATAGAGGGGTACTTTGTTTTATCATCGTGTGTACTATATAATGACTCTTTTACATTGAAAATGTGACTCTGAGTCTGTGGTTCTAACACCAAATACATGGTGTCTTTTCCAATACCAATTTTCCAAGTCTCTGATTCTCCAATTATAGTGTCCTATAATTCAATCCTACCTAACACTAACTACTCAGAGTTATTAGCATCAGACTAAACAGCTTAAGGGCTCAGTTCCACAAGACTGCCTTCAGTTCAGATACCAGTCACAAGTACCAGGTCCCGGGATCCCTGGGTGGCGCAGCGGTTTGGCGCCTGCCTCTGGCCCAGGGCGCGATCTTGGAGACCCGGGATCGAATCCCATGTCGGGCTCCCGGCGCATGGAGCCTGCTTCTCCCTCTGCCTGTGTCTCTGCCTGCCTCTCTCTCTCTCTCTCTCTCTCTCTCTCTCTCTCTCTCTCTCTCTCCCGGGATCGAATCCCACATCGGGCTCCCGGTGCATGGAGCCTGCTTCTCCCTCTGCCTGTGTCTCTGCCTCTCTGTCTCTCTCTCTCTCTCTGTGTGTGACTATCATAAATAAATTTAAAAAAAAGAAATATATATTTAGTATTCATCCTTGTTTCTGGCAAGAGCACCTAAACTCTGGGATTTTCAAAGTGTTGAGAGCGATTAAGGTGTGTTTTGTTACATTGAGGTGGCTTTTGGAAAGCCCCTGTAGGAAGGGTCTGGTTGCCAGAGGAACCACCCTGTTATAGCAGTGGTTAGACTTTTATTCCATCCCCTAACCTTGAAAGAGGGCACAGGGGCTGTTAGTGGACTCAATCACCAATGGCCAATGAGCTAATCATGCGTGCCTAGTGAAGCCTCCATAAAACCCCAAAAGGCCCCAGTTCAGAGAGCTGTAAGGCTGGAGAACACATGGAGGTGCTGGGAGAGTGGCAAACCTGGAGAGTGGCATGGAAGCTCCTTGCCCTTTCTCCATACCGTCTGTATCTCTTCCTCTTCTGACTGTTCCTGAGTTATATCATCTTATAATAAGGTGGTAACCTAGTAAGTAAAATGTTTCTCTGACTTCTTGAACCACTCTAGCAAATTAATTGAACCCAAGGAGGTCATGGAAACCTGATTTATAGCCATTTGGTCACAAGTGCAGGTAACCTAGATTTGTTTTTTTGTTTTGTTTTGTTTTGGTAGCCTGGATTTGAGACTGAATTGGAGCAGTGTGGGGAGCAGTCTTCCCTCCTCATAATAACTGCTATCTTATTTTATATCATGCATATCTTCATGTTTTTACTAGATGTGTATGTATTCACAAACAATATATACTTTCATATGTATGTTTCAGAAACAGATGAGAATGGTAGTATATTTTATGTACTAAAAAAAAAAAAATTAAAGGGGTGGCTCAGTCGGTTAAGTGTCTACCTTTGGCTCAGGTCATGATTCCAGAGTTCTGGGAACAGTCCTGCATGGGGCTCCCTGCTCAGTGGGGAACCTGCTTCTTTTCTCCCCACCCCCCATGCTTTCTCTTGCTACCTCTATTTCTTTTTAAATTTTATTTATTTATTCATGAGAGACACACAGAGAGAGGCAAAGACATAGGCAGAGGGAGCCTCCTCCCTGCAGGGAGCCTGATGTGGTACTCGATCCCAGGACGATGGGATCCTGGACTGAGGCAAAGGCAGATGCTCAACCACTAAGCCACCCAGGTGCACCTCATTATCTACTCTTTAATACATAAATAAATAAATAAAATCTTTCAAGGGATCCCTGGGTGGCGCAGCGGTTTGGCGCCTGCCTTTGGCCCAGGGCGCGATCCTGGAGACCCAGGATCGAATCCCACATCGGGCTCCCGGTGCATGGAGCCTGCTTTTCCCTCTGCCTGTGTCTCTGCCTATGTCTCTGCCTCTCAATCTCTCTCTCTCTCTCTGTGTGTGTGTGTGACTATCATAAATAAATAAAAATTAAAAAAAAATCTTAAAAAAAAAATAAAATCTTTCAAAATTAAAATAAGTAAATAATAAAAATTATAGGTAGTGTTTTGTTCTTCATGCTATGGAAATAGTAAATTCCTAATCCACCAAGGGCTCAAATATGAAAGTTATTGGATTTTTATGGAGTTTTTTTCAGCATCAGTGATCCTAGGACTTTTCTAATATAGCAGACACTGTTGGTTACTTGCTGTTGCAGAGAAGCGTTAACACAGCTCATCTTAGAAGGGCCTTCTTGCATGGGAATTTAGATTTGGGGAGAGTTCTCATTCTCTATTTTTTTTTTAAGATTTTATTTATTTAGGAGAGACACAGAGGAGAGAGACAAGCAGGCTCCACACAGGTAGCCCAACGTGGGACTCGATCCCAGGTCTCCAGGATCATGACCTGGGCTGAATGCGGTGCTAGCTAAACCGCTGAGCCACCCGGGCTGCCCCTCATTCTCTATTGAATGGCTCACTATGCCTAACTTGTTCTTTCAAACAGTATGGTTTATCCTAAACATTTGCTCTCCTCTGGGATTCTGGAATTTTGATATGTGCTAGGCAGTGAGTGCCTGCATGAACCTCCAGTAAAAGCCATGGGCACTGTGTTTCTAATCTAACACAATTCATGTGTGTTATCACAACCTGCTGCTAGAAGTAAGTGTATCGTGTGACTTCACAGAGACATGACTTGTGGGAGCTGGCACCTGGTTTCCTCCAGATTTTGCCATTTGGACCTTTTCTCTTTGCTGATTTTGCTTTGTATATTTTTATGGTAATAAATTATATGCTGAGGCCTGTGAGGCCTACTTAATCACTGAACCTGGGGTAGTCTTGGGTTTTCTCATCACATCTGCCCAACATCCATTCACTTCCTAATCCTTTAAAAAAAAAAAGATTTATGTACTTATTCATGAGACACAGAGAGACAGACA